TGTCGGGCTCAGCTTTCTTATTTTTTAAAACTGTGTCCCACCAGTCGAGATTTGCGTTGAGATTAATTTCCCGTTTTTCTGAATTATGAAAGCATAGGTATTTATTTCCCAAGATAAATTATAGTGTCATGTAGCACATTCGTCTTTTCAGGCTCTGACTCACGACTCCCAGCGTTGGGTTAGCTCTGAGCGTCAGGAACATGGCTGTGTCTAGGGCAAGTCGTTTGCGACAGAGTAGGACTTGAAGGCACGCACAACTGAGGGGTTGGGATATTTCACCTACAGAGTCCTAGGAGGGAATGTGTTGGCTATCTTCAGAGTGTGATAAGCTGACAGAATGGTGTGGGAGGTGAACTTTCTAATGATGAGAGGTATCCAAGATGAAAGGGTAAGATGGAGGCCTGGGACTTCTGTGTATGAACATGTTTAGTTCCCCCACCTCCCTGGGCCCCACTAGGTTGAGCAGCTTCAGGAGAGTTTGAGTCCTTGGCTCTGGGGGTCGACCTAGAGGCTGGATGTGAAGAATGTTGAGAGGAGTCCTGTATTGGGGAACCAACCAGCCAGCCCAACTACAGCCTGGGGCTGCCAGTGATGTCCCGGCCTTCTGGTCCCCTTACTAGCAAAGGGCTGAGGCTGTCGGGAAATAGGAGCGTTACTAGCTAAATGTCCTCTTATTTGTGGGTAGCTGGCACCAGATGACCAAGATACCCAATTAGAACAGGCAAGGTGAAACCTGGGTATATGGCAGGCACATAGTAAATCAAACCCTTGATATTCTCTCTGTCTCTTTCCTTATTACAATGTATCAGAAGTGTAATGCATGGCTTAATGCCTGTGATCCTTTGAAATACCCCAACTGGAGCACCTGTTAATATTTCTTTCTAGTTAAAGCTTCTGTTGCAGTTGGTACTCAAAATCTGTTTGTATGTGTGCTAGAAAACACAGAATGACAGTGCTTAAGAGGAGCAGTTATTCATTAATGGAGAAGCCTGGAAAAGGGGTTCCAGGGCCCATATATCACTGGGACCCAGGTGTCTTCTCTCTTGTTACCTCACACCTTTAGCAAGTGCGTTCTCCTCCTTGTCTCCGCTGGACTGACAGGAAGGAGGAGGGGACCAAGAAGACTTATGCCAGACGTCTGTTAGGGACAGTTCCTAAAAGTTCCTATAACACTCCTGCTTGCATTCCCAGGGCTGAAATTTAGTCCCACAGCCACAGTTGCTGCAAGGGAAGCTGAGAGGTGTGGCTTTCAATGTGGGCGGCCACGTGTCCAGAGAAGCTCCGTGTGAGAAGGTGTCACGACGTCCTAGTAGTTCTCCAGTAGGGGTCGTAGGAATAGATTTGCCAAATGCCACAGTGAGAACGGACTTTGGAAATCACCTTGAGCTCCTTCATTTACAGAGGAAGACACTGATACGTAGAGAAGGAGAGAGGACTTGTCCAAGGTCACACAGACCGTAAACATCCAGGGCAGCACAACATTTGGGGTCTCGGCTCCTTCCACCAAACCTCCAGCTCCAACTTCTCAGCCAGCTCACGTTCTCTGACCTTGGGCTCAGGTCATCTGCTTTTAACCCTTTTCCTGGATCCCTTTACCACCAACTTCTTAAGAATCGAGACTTTTAGATTCTCACATTTCACAACTATTTTGAGCAAAATGTGGGTTACACTACATTTAACTAGTTTCTTCCCAACATAAGAAGAGTATTTTTTTTCAGGTGACAAAGCCAAAAAGGTCAAGTCCCACCTCCACCCTTTCCCCTAAATGTTAAACTTCTGTCCTTAAATCTTCCTCCTTTAGCAAGCTGCTGTTACATAATTGAATGCTCTGGCTCCGTGATCTGCATTGAATAATGAATCTATGAGGACAGTCAGCCTGCCTGGCGATAGAGACCATGAGGGCGCTGGCACGTGCCCCAGCGATCGAGAGCTTTTTAAAGCTGAGGGTGTGATGTGACAAGGATTGTTCTCCCGATTATTTTCCAGAATTGTATGACTCTTTATCTCTGTAGTCCTGTGGCCCTGGTGGGTGAGCTTACGAGGAGAGAGGGGAGCTTGTGTGAGCTGTGTGTTAGAGCGAGAGGGTGGTGGAAGAGGCACAGACTTCTGTACGAGATCTGATTAACAGCAGGCCTGGCCTAATGGCCCCAGGACCCTGATAAGGGACAGACCCCCAATGTTCTAGGCTGGCAGGAAGCAGAGGGCTCGTGGAAGTCTCTGCTGGGACCCTCCTTGCCATGGGATTCTGGAAGAGGAGGGCTTCTCCTGGCGGTTTTGATGGGCCCTTCCTGGGAAGGAGGTTTGCCCCAGTCCAGGGAGCTTGGGTTGAGAGAAGCAGACCACCTTCTCTGGGCAGGAGCTGGGCGACCTAAGCTCTGGTTCTAGCTCTACTGCTTACCTACTGTGCGGCCTTGATGAGTAATTTAGCCTCTCTGAGCCTCAATTTCCTCTCTGCAGGAGGAGGCCAGTGCCCACTCATCGGGTTTTGTAAGGGGCAAATGGGCACGGGACCTGGAGAGCACATTCTGCAGGTGCTGCCTGGCCTCTGGCCTGGGTCGCTGTGCAGATGGGTTTTGCCCCGGGTTTTATGATGCTGAGTGTGTGTACGTGCATGCGTCTTCCTGCCTGATGTGCTATTTTGCCTGATTGCAGCCTGGGCCCTGGAGAGGAAGAGGTGGTGCCCATTTTACTGTTGTCCTTGCTCTGTCGCTGATTAGTCTCGCTAATGGTCCTACTACAGATAATTACGATTATTATGTACTTCTGTTTGCCAAGCATTATGTTAGGTTCTCTGTGTACTTCCCCTCCTCTCCTCTCGTTTAATCCTCAGCCAACCCCTCAAGGCAGGTGTCAGCATTTCCCCCTCCGCTCTGTAGGTGGGGAAATGACCCTGAGAGGTATAGTGACATCTGAGATCCTCTTGCTATGAATGAGGGCGCCTGGATTTGAACCCGGGTCTGACTCCAGAAGCGGTGCTCTGTCCAGGTGTTTAACCCTGGGGTGTGTAGGCTAAAGGCTCACTGTTAGGAGGACACCGCCGAGTCGGAAGATGAGGGGGGAACCCAGTTTCCTCGACCCTGTTGCCTCTCACCTTGGTGGAGGTGGGGTGAGGACTCATGTGACAGAGACCCAGGGGCTGCTGGCTCTGAAGAGTGCCTTATACTCTGCTGGGGGAAAGGGCCTTGAGGATGGAGGCCTGGTGTTCTAAACGAGGTGCTACTGTGACAGGCGCTGGGGGCACTCTGATGGTTGGGCACTGGCTCTCTGATGCCAATGGGACCTTTGGGGACCTGTATTCCCCATCCTTCCCAAGCTTTGCTTTGCTCCACACTGGGGAAATGGCTTATGGGTCTCAGCCCAGCCCACAGGCAGCCCAGCCCTGATACAAATCCTGTTAAAGCTGTGGGTCGAGGAGCAGAAAGAAAGCAATTATTGCAGCCCATCAGGAGTTTGCATGGTGAACAGAGGGGATTTTTTCTCTCTTCTACTTCTAAAGGGAATGACTTAGACCATAAAGAGCCCGCTGAGCCCAGGAGCAGTTGGGAGGTTGGCGCTGCCCTCTCCCCTGGGGGCCTGACCAAGCAGAGGGTCTGTGCATCATTAACACTGTTATTGTTGCCGTAGTTACTGTCCTTATCAAGGTTTGTGGGTCATGGCTTAAGAAATATGCAGAATGGCCCTGGGAGGTGATCCAGGGCCCACTGGAGCTGCATCTTAAGGAAAGAAAGGAGCGTGCACATTGCAAAGGTTAAAAGAGACTGAAGGGGAGGAGAAAGGAGAATGTTAAGTGGCTGGAGCAGCATCCCCTGGGGCTTAGGGGAGGGAGCAAGGGCGGCCCTCCTGGCTGTCCCTGTGGTTTGCCTGCTAAGGTGCGGGTCTGAGGCAGACACAGGCTTTTCATCCTCCCCAGTCTCAGAGATGCTAAGTAAGCCTCGCAGGTCTCCCCTGGAACTGGCTATAGGCCTGTGTTCCCCTGTCACTCCCAAATCTCCAGACGCTGCCTCTCCTGTACCCACACATGGGCAATGGAGACAGCCCATCCTTCTCCCGACCCTGCAGGGTCACCCAGCTCCTGCGCTGGGCGTGCTGTCTCTTTAAAGCACTCGCTTCCCACTCAGCTACTGAGATCATCTCAGATTGTCCTGGGTCTCTGCCGTGGACTGTGCCTGCGGATCCATCACCGCCTTTCTGTGTGTCTCCTCTTTGGTCTGTGTTGACAGAGCACTTCCCACCTTTTCCTTCTGACTGTCCTCCTGTCCTTCCTCTGGGCTTCTCCCACTGAGCCTCGACCCCAGACTGACTCCCCAGCCTGAATGGGGTGCCTTATTGTCCACACATCCACGCCTGAGCTCATTATCACCTTCCTCAGCATCCGGCATCCAACAGACAAAAGCCCCTGCTGCTTCTCAATTCTTCCATTTTGGGCTATTGTTCGGCTCCTAGCCCAGAATCCTTGGGGTCATTTTAGCCTCTTCTCTCTTCCTTGCTTACATAGGAATAGTCATTGAGTTCTGTTGTTTTTCCCCAAGACTCTTGGATTGACCCATTTCTTTCCACTTGGGCAGCCACCCAGCTGGTCCCTCCACCTCCAGCTTCCTAGTGGCTGCCCAGTCTGAGGTCATGGCCAAATGCAGTTCTCTAGGAGCCAGGCTTTCAAGACCCGCAGCCTGGCCCCACCTGCCCTCTCCCGCCGCCCGCCGTGCTCCCACTCAGGCCCTCACTGGCTGTGCTGTGGTTGGCCTGGTGTCAGCGGTCCCTTCCAGGTCTCCCGAGAGCTGCCATGGACTCACTGTGTAATGTGCTCCTAGCGGTGATCTCGGCAGAGGCCAGGATGGTAACCAGTGTGCCTTGTCATGTTTATTAGGCTGGACAAACAGTTCCTGTGCTTGCAAGGGGCCAGGTGCTGTTCTGGGCCCTGTCCTCCAGAACTAGCTCCAGTCTAGGGGCTGGGGTAGGGATGGGGAGGTGGGGAGGAGACAGACCCTCCATGAAGACCGGCTATGGGCAGTGCCCATGTAAGCCCCAGTGTCATGCCCGGTGATGGTGTTCGAGCAGAGGCAATTACTCGGTGTGTCTCTCATTGAGCTTCAGCTCTCTGCTGTGTGAGGGTGAGCACTGGGTCAGAGGTTTTGGTGGCTGGCTGGGCCTGGGCCGTGGTTTGTTTGCTCGGGGGTGGCCGATGTTTAGATGACCTGAGGGACTCTCTGAGTTTTATAGGAAGGAAGCTGTGGGTCAGCTCTTGTGGTTTCTGTTGTAGACTCGGCTGTCGCTGCGCCCAGCTACGCCACCGTGCTGCCTGGGCAGGCAGGCACTGGGCTGTCCCGCGCCCTCCCCCACACCACCCCTTTTCCTTCTCCCCAGTTCCAGAAGCACAGATGCCTGCCAGTTTCAGGAGGGCTGGTCCACAGGTCAGAATCCCCAGGCACTGGGCAAAGGTAGTTGTTTTTCTTCACTGCAGATTATCTGAGGATTAAAACCAGAGCAGAGTCAGTGTGTTTTTCCAACAGATTTTTTTTTCTTTTTTCCTTTAGTCATGTGCGTTGAGCTATGAACTCTTTAGTCTGAAGTCCATTCGTTTTCTGGGAGCAGTAAACTAAATAACACGTAACAATAAAGTGGAACTAACTTTTTGGTGAGCTCTTAAGGTGGGCTGCCTAAGGGCCGTGGTCTGTAGGCCTTGTCCACAGCTCTGGCCAGGCAGAATGAGGGAGAGACCATTCCTCAACTCCTCCTCCTGGATGGTTTCACCCTGGGGAGAAAGAACCTTGAAACCTAATGGCAGATTATATTTAGAAGCACTAGAATGTGGCTACATTTCTGTCTTCTGTTCTGCTGAGATAGAAATTTGTATTACGTATTATGGTAACGATGCTATTGGAGTGCTTTATGATTTATAAAGTATGTTCGATAAGTTATCCCATTTTATCCTTCCAGCAGTCCCATGAGGGCGGTGTTATTATCTCCATGTCAGATGTGAGAGGCATTAAGCCTCTGGAAGGTTGGGGGATGTTGCTTAGCCATCTTAGCTATTGAGTGGCAGAGCTCAGACTCAACTCAAGACTTCTGGCTGCAAAGAGGCAGTGGACTGAGAGGGCATGGGATCAAAGAGAGAGACTGGGGTTCGGGTCCTGGCCCTGCTTTTCATTAGCTGTGTAACTTTGGTCAGACAGTTTCCCTGATCAATATGATTAAGCGTATCAGGTAATCTACAGTTGCCTCTTTTTATTGACCACATTCCTCCATATTTCTCTGTCCTGGCTCCATTCTGGGCTGGTTGCTCTGTCGGCTGTTGGACAGTTGTCCCGGACTTCTCTTTACCCTCAGTATGGTAGTTATTCTTGCCTCTTTCCTCTCTTGGATCCTTTGTTTCCCAGATTCCATGTCTTTGTCATTTTTTATTTACATCTTGTTTGGGTAGAGCATGAGTTCTAGTAGCTTCCTGAGAAAGTGCATTGGTGGTAAATCGTGCACATCTGAGATCTGAAGTCTGAGTAAATTTGTATTCACCATTGACAGTTTGGCTGGTGATAGAATTCCAGTTGGAAACCGCATTGCCTGAAAATCGCAAAGGCGATGCTTCGCTGTCTTCCAGTGTGCTGATGACCAGCCTTACGCCAGTTCTGACTCCTGGTCTTTTATATGTGGTGTGTGTGCTTTTCTTTGAAACACACATCTGCTCTTTGTCAGCAGTGTTCTGCATGTTTGCACAGATGTATTTTGGTGAGAGTTAATTTTATTCTTGATGCTGAGCCCTCTCAACTGAAAAGCTTGCATCTTTCAATTCTGGGGTATTTTCTCAAATTATTTCTTTGATAATTTCCTGTCTATTTTCTTCTGTTTCTGGAGTTCCTTTAATGTGGCTGTTTGTGCTTTAATTTGGCTGTTTTTAGTTTTAGTTTCATCTTTCCATTGGTTTGTTTTCGTCCCTTTTATGTTAAGGGCTTTCCTCAGATATCTGGTGAACCTCGTTATCTGTGTGTATTGAAGAGCAAGGCACTAACTAGCACATGATCAGAGACTGAGTGTGGGGAGGGGTGGAGGGCACTTGTTTACTGAGAGCACCTCACAGTAGGAATTGGAGTGGGAATTCAGCTGTTCCATGGCAGGATCTCCAAGTCACTGTCTTTAGATTGTTTTTCTTGTGCTTCTCAGTTTACCCAGAGAAAAATTCTCTAATCTCCTGCCTGGGGGAACAAGACTGGCAGCATTCTGGAAAGGGGGGTGCTAGGGGATGGGGCTCATGCGGATGGTTGATCTCAAGGTTTAGTTCATAGACTTCCCTTAATCTCCTCTTTTCTCTCAGGGCCACACTCCCACCCTCTGCCTGGTGTCTCCCAGCAGAGCGTATCTGTTTTTAGTGGACATGTAGTAACCCCTGTGCCTTCTGCCAACCAGGCAAGGGGCTGTTGGCCAGCTGTGTGGGCTGGGTGAGGGGATCTGCTGTGTGACTTCTCCTTATTCATGTGCTTAACACACACCCACATACATACATACACACACACACACACACACACACACTGCTTTCATCTTACACATGCCTGTGGAGGTGCCTGGTACCTCCGGTGCCCAAGGTTTGCAGGCTTCTTGGGGACAATCCGCTCATTTTCGTTGGCTTATTTCCTGCGATCGTTGGCTGAGTAGGGCAAGCAGAAACGCCCTCACCATCCATTCCCATCCTGAACCTCAGAGGTGACCTTATTTCTCTGTGGATTTTGTGTTTCGGTGCTTCTGAGTGGGATGGAGTCTTCGCATTGCTCCGGCGTGTGATGCAGTGTAGCATGTAGACACTGGCGTCCGAGAGAGGTCTTGATTGAGCGGGTGGCAGGTACGTCCACGCACATGCTTGTGTTGTATGCAGCCCATGCAACGTTATGAAAGTGCATGGAGAAGAGAGGGACGTGGAGACTGAGAGTGGACAGGGAAGTGTCTTGGGGTGTGTGGTGACTTGGCGAGAGGATGAGGTGAAGGGCAGCTCTAGTCTCCTGAGAAGGGTTGGTGTGCCCTCATCCCTCTGAAGTGAGATAAGCTATAGGCAGCAGGTCGGTGGGCACCTGTTCTTCCTCAGGCCTGGCCGGGACCCGGGGCTCACCGTCCTTGTCTCCTTCATTTGCAGGTCATCCTGCCAGGATGGCTGTGCTCCACAAAGGTCTCCTCGCTCATCGAGAGGATCTCTGACCCCAAGGACTTGAAAAAACTTCTCAGGACCCGGAATAATGTATTGGTGCTTTACTCCAAATCCGGTGAGTGCCCATCTGGGTCACCTGTTGGGGAGGGCATGCGATAGGAAGGGAATGAGAGGGGCCAGAGGTGGGAGACGGAGACCTTAGGACCAACGGCCAGTCAGGAAGGGTCCTAGGGACACCGTGTTTGTCCGCTTTCCACGGGAGATGGCAGAGGCCCGGAGGGGCGTTAGTTCTGCTGATCTGGGATCCCTGAGAGGTCATTCACTTCCTTCCTATGAGTGTTTCTTAGAAAAAGCCTCATTGCCTCAGGAGAGGGCATGAGTGTGAAGGAGGGCAGAGGACTGTGGACACTGGGGATGGACATTCTAACTTCCTGCACAGGCACGGGCCAGCCCTGCCAGGGCATGCTTCTCCAGGGCTGTTGACGAACAGCCTGGGCCGGCCCGTCGCCAGCTGAGTTGGTCCCAGGCTTGGGGACATGCACCCAGGCTGGCAGCTCTGACCCTGCCTGGCCCCCATCTGTCCTACTCTGGGATTGGAACACAAGGCTGAGTTTGGACTGGGCTCAGGGCGGCTTAAGGGGGCGTGGGAGCAGCAGCTTGCCTCCGCTGACCTTGGGACTGACGAGGGCAGAGTGGATGGAGAGAGGTTTGCTCAGCTCCTGGCTGTGACTTTGAACATCAGACTGTTGATATTATTCCAGCACAGTTAAGTGTTTTCGCTGCTTCTGAGGATGCCAAGTTCTCCGTGCCCTGGAGAAGCAATAGCCAGTGGCTGGGCCAGTTCCGGGCACAGCTCTCCCTGCAGCTCATCCTTGACACTCGTTTACACTGGGGCTGATGGATGTTTTGGACGTGTGTCCCTCCTGGAGCCTGCACTCTCCCAGCACCCTGGCACATGCTGCTCCTTGGTCTTCTGCAGCCTGGCAGATGCTCTCTGAGGTTGTTGTTGGGACCCCAGCATGTGACTAACATTTCTCTGCTGTCAGGAACAGGGGTAAACTGAGGCCAGGGAGAAGCAGAGCTGCTCCTGAGGCCTGGGTGTAGGGCCCTGATAAGCGTGGCTCACCCCGTGGGTGCTCCTGGAGCTGGCGGTTGTCGGTGTGGGAGCACACTTGGCTCCTCTCTGGGTACGTCCCGCCACGGAAGCTCATCATCATACAAGGACGCCTTGAGGACCTTCTGCAGGACGGTCCCCTTTGCTCCTCTGCCAGGAGGGAGGCAGCGCAGGTTGTCAGATAAGATCCAGGTTATGAGGGAGGAGCTGAAGCTGAGAGAGAGCAGCTGACTTGTCTGAGGCCTCGCAGCTAGTAGACGCCGTTCAAGCTGGTCAGTCGAGCTGGTCTCTGCTCCACCTCTGCTTGTTTCTTCTGCTGGAGGGAGGAAGCGATGTGTTACCTCTGCAGGGACGGGAGGGCTCTGCCACCAGGGAATGGTTTTGGTTAGCTAGAGGGTGGGAAGGTGGATGGGGTCTCCAGATGGGGCTTGCAGGGCAGGAGGCAGGGCCCAGAGGTCTTATTTTCTCTCCAGCCTCACCCAAGTGTGGTCTCATGCTTCCCGCGTGCCGGCTCCTCCCTGCATTGGCAGTGGCTGTGGGTGGTTTTCCTACCTTCCTGCCTCCTCCCAGGCCTGTCACTAGACTTGTGACTGTGCGTGGGCTTTCAGGGCAGCACAGTAACTGGGTTTCTCCCCTCCTGTCCTTCCAGGCAGGGATCCCTTTCCGCAGGGCTAGGGGCGGGGTGCTGCCTATCTATCCCTCTACTCCAGTTTCCCTCCCCCGCTCCCCAGAGCCCATCTGCCTGCTGAGCGATGGCCTTTCCCCCTCCACCACGCCCTCCTCCTGGTGCCCTGGTGGGGCTCCTGGCACGTTCTAGAATGATGCTTTTTGTTCACTTCCATAAAGGCTCCGCATGCTTTGTGTTCACAAACAGCTACCATTCTCCGCACTAGAAAAGGAGATCTGTGGAGGCAAATAATTCAGACACAATGTCTGCTTGACTTTGGAACGTATCAGAGGGGGAAGGCAGCAGACTGCTCTCCCCACCAGAGTCTGCCTGGCAGGCCTTGCACATGCGCTCACAGGTATGGCAGGGGGAGGTGACACACTGGCCACAGCCACTCGGCAGTGGGAACTTGCAGGCTGGCCGTGCTAAATCCTGGCCACAGAGGCTCCGTCCCCAAGAACCTGCCCTCCTACAATAGATTCCAGGTGCTTTGCCCAGACTCACAGGAGTTGGCACCTGGCCCAGCAAAGCACTCTTCCTTTCTCATGTCCACTCCATCCTGCCCAAGGCCTGGTCTGCGGTCCTGCAGCTGACGCCCGAGGTATGGCCCAGCCCAGTTCCTCCCCTGCCATTTCCCGGGAAGTGGGCTATGACATCTGACGTGGGTACACTTGGCATCTGTCTGTCGGAGACTAGTGTCACACGTAAACTTCATCTGATCGCCAGGTTGTACCGAGGGCCACTAGATGCGTGTGTGATGGACACAGGAAGGAAGGATCGGGCCCCTGCCCTCATCAGGTCCAAGGACAGACAAGGGTGGAATTGGCCAACTCATTTCCCACTTCAGTTACAGAATTGTCATTATGTGGTTATAAAATTTTCAAAATTTGTCCCAGAAAGGTAGTGAGTCAGAGACGCTCCCGGGAGTTACCTATTTTGCTCAGAGACGCTCGGAGGAGTGAGGGGTGAGGCGTGGCTTACAGGAGGCGTGGCTTACGTGGGGGCTCTCTGTCCATGAGGAAGGGCCCAGGAATGTGGCGGGAGCAGGGGTTCCTGGAATGAGCTGGGCGATCCTCCCAGAACTGTTGGTCACCGGGACGATATCTTAACAGGGGTTCTGGACTGGTCTCCTTTCTTCCTTCCTTCCCTGCCCCCAAGAGAAGATGGCAGGATGGCCTGGTGTCCTTGGGCACAGATGTTTAATATTTGGTTGTTGTTTTTTACAGAGGCTGCAGCTGAAAGTCATCTCAGGTTACTGTCCACTGTGGCCCAGGCAGTGAAAGGACAAGGCACCATCTGCTGGGTGGACTGTGGGTATGTTCTGGGGACGTGGCACGTGGCTGGAGGGCATGGGGCTTGGAGGCTGTGGCCAGTGGGGGTGGGACTTGTCCCTGATTAATACTCTGAAGAGAGGATGGGATGGAGAGACGCTGCGGAAAGACCTCCCTGGCAGCCTGGCAGGGTCACCTGTGGCCTGGAGGAGGCAGTTCTGGCTCTCCCTCTGTCTGTCCGTCTTCCCTTCTTCCGGAGAGCTTTTATGTTTTACTGTGTCACTTGATTTTGTTGGTGGCAGAGGGGGCCTTGTTTTATAGATGGGGCCTTAGTGCCCAGAGAGGCAAGGTGATTTTCAGGGTGACCCACAAGTCTGCTTGTGGGGGAGGGTGTTTGGCAGCAAGAACCTGGGCTTTACCCCCGTCCAGGCCAGTAACAGAGGTCTCCTCTCCCTGCGGCCCAAGGCGGTGGAATCAGTTGGCTGACCTGCCTGCTCCCTTGGCTTCCAAGCTGATGCCATTAGATGAATCAGGTGGCTTAGCCCTTCCAGCTCTCTCCTCTAGCTGTGTCTCCACCCCTACCCCACCTGTCCCAGTGCCGTGAGCTCCTCTCCCCTCTACTCCCACCCTCCCCCTCTTCCTCTATCCTCACCTCCCTCCTCTCAGGGATTTTCCTGTCGGAATTGAGTGCCGCCCCCGGGAGGGAGCCCATGGAAAGAGGCTACTTCTTAGGGTGGGGAAGGGCCTGTTGGTGGAATTCCCCTGATTCTTTGAGTTTGGAAGCTGGAGTGCAGGGTGTGCTCAGCTTCCCTTTCCTCCCCATCATTAGGAATAATTTCCACATCTCTCTGTGTTCAGTGCTTTGCTGCAGGGACTATATTTATACACACCTCTTGTCATATCATTAGCTCCCAAGTTGGCGTAGATTGGCAGAAGCACAGAAAGACACGCAGAGAGTGAATGAACATAGGAAAACAGATAGCTAAGAACAGGCTTTCCCTTTACACGTTTATTGAGCACTAGCTATATGCAAGGCACTGTGCTGCACTTGGCGGGTAGCAGCGTTTACATGTCCTTCTGACAGGACAAGAGGTGTCTCCAGAGCCTCTTTGTCCAGTCACTGCTCACCTGGACTTGGGGTTTGTCAGGAGCGTGGAGTTGGGAAGAGGAGGGGAAAGGAGAATCGTACTCAAGGGTGTTGTACTCCGGTTAGTTCGTTTAGGGAAGAGGTGGGGTTCTGCTGGAAAGAGGCAGCTCTTTTCCTGAGTGGCCCATAAAGGTCTTTGACCTTGGATGTAGCTGGCCCTGCCTGAGTCACAAGCCTTGCTACTACCCTGTGGGTTAAATGAGCTTTCATGGGCTCCACTCCAGTGCAATTTTCTTCCCCTGCAATCTGAGTCCTAAATGGCTGTTTGGCAAATGAACTTCATGGCCTCAATGGCTGGAGAGGACTGAAGGAGATTCCTATTTTGACAGAGCACCGGGTAAGACCCGCTGACGTGTTAGCCCAGCAGTGTTTGCTGAAGCCATGTGTGTATGTGCGCACGCACGCATGCCTGGCCTCACACCTCCAGGTATTCTGAAGCACCAACTCAATGGACGAGACTACCCTCTAGACCAGTGGTTCTCAACCTTGGCTGCACATTAGAATCACCTGGGAATCTTTTTAAAATCCTGATTTCTGGGCCCCATCCTCCGGAAATTCTGTTTCTTTGTTATGGCATGGGGCCACAACATTACTAACAAAGAAACAGAATTTCTGGAGGATGAGGCCCGGAAATCAGGATTTTAAAAAGATTCCCAGGTGATTCTAATGTGCAGCCAAGGTTGAGAACCACTGCTCTATTGGTGAGATTGTAGCCATTGGTGAATTCTAGTCCATCCCTGGTCTGGAAGTGTTTCTGTCTTCCAGATGTGTCGCTGTCTCCAGTAGCTCGCCAGGCGTACATTCCGTGACTGGCAAAGCGCCAAAGTCTATTAGAGAGGACAGGTGCTTCGGACTCTCCACAGCTGAAGATGATGCCAGTTCTGCCCAATGAGGCCTTATCACGGGGGTCTTGTGAGGCTTGCAGGTGGCAGAAGTGGGCAGAAGAGCTTTGATGTTGCTCCATCCACCTGGATCCACTCAGCAGACATTCCCGAGCACTTACTGTGTGCTTTGAGGTGCACAGTATCGTGTCCCCCGTCCCCCTCAAGAATAGCGGTGTCCTCTGTGCCAGGAGGAGGCAGACTACAGTCCAGGTGAAAGGTGCTGTAAATGGAGGCTATCTGTGTTGTCACTTAATTTTGTCTGGAAAGGCTGAGAAAGCTTCACAGAGGCGGTAGAGTTCAAGTTTGGGGCAAATACCTCAGAGTGTCAGGTCTTTAAAGTGCCCTGGCTTTCCCCGGAGGTGTGGTGTGGGCCCAGCACTGCTTGGGGTCATCTGGATGGTGGCCGGGCAGGCACAGTCCTGCTCTGCTCCCTGGACGGGCAAGACTAAATGGGACCAGACTAGTGTGTGGAGAGAGACTGAGGCGATTAGAACGCAGGACTCATGCAGAGACATGTTAAAGTGCCAATGGGAGAAAGAATCCTGTGACTGATGTGCTAAATGAAAACAGGAGAAGAGGGCGCCTTAGCGCTTAAAAGGTAACCTTAAGACAAAGGGATAGATTGTTTCATGCACGTAGTTGCCACTCCACATATCCTTGTAGGAGGGAGTGTAAACTGAAATGTTAAGTAGCTTTTAAAATGGTTTAGAGAAGTAGGTGGATTGAGGAGCTATAATGGATTATGTTGGAAGCAGGAGTCTCTGTTTGAGATCAGAGGCAGAGTGTGGCTACATCTTCCCAGAACAGCCCACGGACAGAACTTGGCTCCGGTCCTCGCAGGCCACCCTGGGCAGCACTTCTCACGGACCAGTGTCACATGAGATTCCCAGGGCACCAGCTGGCTCTGCCCTCTGCTCAGCCACCCCCGCTCCTACACTTCCGAACGTGCCCCGTAAATCATTAGGGGACCCGACCATGTAACTCCTGGGCCCTGCAATGACAGCTCTCGCTGTTGTCCTAAATGCGTTCCGTCTGTGTTTATGAATCTGAAAGAGACGCTCTGGGAATGGGCAGACGCAGCTCAGGAAAGCTTTCTGTTGCCGTCTGCAGTGGAGTAAGGGGGTGGAACGGAGCCAAGCCAACGTCTGCTCGCTTTTTATCTCAGCAGCTGTTAACTAGCAGGTGGGCAGCCAGAGCGCCCCTCCCTCCCGCAGGCCCTCCGAGGTTCCCCACTCCTGTCCTCTCCGGCTCTGCCTCCTGCCCTGCCAGCGGTCTCAGAGGCTGGGATGGGGACACCAGGGCCTGGAGGGGGGTGATAGGAAGGTCAGGAGGGAACAGCCTCCTCTGCTTCTCCCCCTTGAGGAGCAGGTGAAGGGAACGGGGGGGGGGGGGCATTCGAGGGTGAGGGAAGACAGAACTCTGGTGAGCGGTGTCAGGATGTGCGTGGCACGATGGCAGAGGCTGGTTGAAGGGTCGGCTTTGCTGCTTCTTAGCTCCATGATGTTGAGTAGGACAGTTACCCTGGGTCCATTTCCTCGTCTGTGAAATGGGACAATAATTCTTTCTTCTTCCTGGTTCCATGGAAGCTCTTTCCGGAATAGAACTGAGAGGGGAGACCCTGTGCTGCTGTCGTTACTTTTCATCTGGGCAGGGCTGTTCAGGACTTGCAAGAAGCTGGAGGGGGAAGCGGTGTGTTTGTTCCTCAGCAGCCTTTTCTTGGGTGAGGAGCCTTTGGTGGTTGTGAGGGTGCCTCTGAGGGAAGTTTTGGGCTGGAGAGTCAGCCCCGGCTCGTGGGTGCTTGGCTCCGACCCTGAAGAAGTGCCGGGTGCAGTGGAATTTGCACGCCTGCAGGTCAGGAGGCCTGCCCTGGAGTCCGGGCTCATCCCTAAATAGCGTAGTTCAGAATCTCCCAGAAGCTGCCAGACTTGGTGTGCAGGGTGTGTGTGTGTGTGTGTGTAAGTCTTTTGTCTTCCAGTCTTTGGGGCCTTTTTTTCCTTTGCGTCTCTCCCCATTCTGGGTATCTGCCCCTTAAACCTTTCCAATCCTTCCTTCTGAGCATCTCTCCCGTCTCCTGCTTTGTTCTCTGTCCCTTACTAGTTTCTGCCGCCTCTTCCCTGCTCTGGTCCCTGATGCCCATTCTTTTGATCTTTTTCCTCCTGTCTCCATGTGGATGTTTCTTTCCCTCTTTTTCTCGTTTTTCTGGCGCTTTCCTCTCAACCGGTGCCTACGTGCCTGCAGGCACACACAGCCCTCCCGGTGGGTCCCCTCCCAGCCCCAGCAACTTGTTGCTGTGAGGTGTCTGTAGGGTGTGTGGCTTCTGTCCAGGAATCTGTCAGCTCTCCCTGCCCCTCACTCCACCTCCTGGCTCAGGCCTCGGCAGCCACGCTCGGGTTGGCTGCTGGTGGTTGTCTGGCTAAGTGTGTGTGTGTGTGTGTGTGTGTGTGTGTGTGTGTCTGGAGAGAGAGAGAGAGAGAGAGGGAGAGAGAGAGAGTTAGTATTCCCTCCGTGCCCCGCAGCCTGGCATCGGGCTGGGCCTTGGCCGAGTGCTGCTGTCTGGGCAGCTGAGCCGGGGCCAGCAGGCAGGAGCTGGGCTTGGGATGCTAATTCCTGGGGCGGATTCTCACCGGGCTGAGGCTGCCCTCTCCCTACTTTCTGCTTTCTTTTCTGAGGGTCAAGGTCATTACCTAACCACAGTTTCCTTCTCCCCTGCTCTGTCTCCCATCTGCCTTATTTCCCCTGGAGCAGCGCTGTCTTCCCAGATCCAGGATTTAGGGCCTGCCAGCGTGGGCATAACATATTTTGAAGTCTTAGCTTTTCTTATAAAGAATATTTGAGTTTAGCATTTGCTCCCTTCTGTGTAAGCATGTTTAACACGACTTACTGTGCGTTAGAGGAGACTCCCAGGCGAGAGCTGTGTTGATGTGTCTTCAGACACTTCCCAGCCCGTTAGCAGGCACTCCTTGGGGTGGCACGTCCCCCGCTGAGGAGCTGGGGAGGCAGGTGGAGGAGGAGAAGGCACACTTATCTCCCTCTGTTCCCATCACTTTTACTAGCTGTGCTGTGTAATTCATACTTTACCCTGTGCCTTCTTGAGGTAGGGACAGCCAGACCTGGGAGGATCCCTGCTATATGCAGCAGGCCCCTTCATCAGAGAGCACTACCTGGCCACCAAGGTCTGCCCAAGGTTAGGCCAGCTGTTCCAGGACTGTTCTGTCTGCCGCCCGTGTCCTCCAGTTACATCCGTTCATATTGCCCTTGGTATTTGGCATCTAGAAGTCACTCTGACAGTATTTCTTGCTCATTTGCTCCTTAGCTCCAATTTTTTTATGTCACTGAAGTGAGGGCACTTTCTACCTCTCCTCTCCCACCAACCTCAGGGGTGACAGGCCCATCTGCTCGGAATCCCGCCACGTCAGACGGGGTTGATGGGAGAAAGAGATGTACCCTTTCTTTGATGGGGAGATGGAACCCAGGAAGGCTGCGTTAGCCAAGGGTACCCAGTGGCCAAGACAGGCAGGGGCCAAGGCCAGGTTCTTAGTGCAGTGTGCTTTCTCCCCGCTGCTGAGGCTGCCCGGCTTTGTGTGGGCATGAGCAGGAGTGAGGATCTGGTCAGGGGGTTGGGAGAGAGATGACGGAGGCTTAGATCTTTCTGAGTCTCCACCTCTGTCCTGGGTCCTGGCTCCTGGTTCATCCGTCAGAATATAGGCAGCCTGCCTTGGTGCGTTAGTAATACTTGACCTCATAGAGGAGTTAGAGGCTCCATTCAGCTCACCTGCACAACTCTCACATTTTGCAGCTCGGGAAACCAAGGCCCGCCAGAGGTCACAGGCTGGCGAATGGCAGAGCCAGATCTGGAAGCCATCAGTCACTCCAGCTGGCAGGTGGGCCTGCCTCCAGGGAGGGTCTGGGACTCAGACTGCGACTTGTGGAAGCCACATCCCCCCTTCCTGAGCCTCCAGTACCCATTTCTTCCCGCCTCCCTCACGCCTCCATCATCTCTGGGTCTGATCCCCAGGAGCGGGCATGGCCAGCCTCCTGGATGACCAGCATGGCTCCACACACCCACTGCAGCCACTCCGCACTCCCAGCCAGCCACTCCCCAGCAAATTCCAAGGAAATGTCCATGCGCACGCATCTGTCAGGGCCAGGGTTAGGGGGGAAGTGTGCAAAGTGTGCACAGGCCTCTGAAATCTGTCCACATTCTCTGTAGAGGAGAGCCAGGGAAGGTGGGTGAGTAACTGGGCAGAGGGAGGCCTGGCTCCTGCATCCCCAGCAGACAGAGTGGCAGGGAGGCCCTTTGCATGGCCAGTCCACTCTCCGTGATGCATGGCGGTTTTCTGCCTCCCTCTCCATTCCAGCAAAGCATCTCGTTCCTTTGCTCCCTGCTCGTGTCTCCTCCCCGCTCCAGAGGCTCAGTCCCTGGCAGGGGAAGGGAGGGACAGCAGGAGGTAGCCAGAAGATCAATTAATTGTGTCTAATCTCTCAACCAAGATCCTTCTAAGTCCCTGAGGTTGGTAATTTCTCTCTCCTTAAACTCTTAGGACTTATATTGTCTGTACTGCATGATTAGCGTGTGCGTGCGCGCGCGCGCGCACACACACACACACACACACACACACACACACAAACAACTGTTGGAGGGAAGCGAGCCGACCTGAGAGAGCACCAGCAGGAAGTGTCACCTGGCAGGATTCCTGGAGCTCAGCGGACAGAGCCCAGAGCCCAGAGCCCAGGAAGCCAGCGGTGCAGGGCTCCTCCCAGCAGTAGCAGGACAGCGTCAATCAGGGCCTCGCTCACTCGGGTGATTACAGAGGGCCCGCTCTGTGCCAGCTGCTGTTGTAACCCTGGGGAAACAGTGTGAACACACAAAGCCCTCGCCCTCATGGAGCAAACATTTTTGATGGGGCGACAGTCAGTGCACACATTGGCCAGATGTGGAGATGCATTTGCCAGATGTGGAGATGCATGGCCGAGAGAGACAGCAGGGAAGGGGGTGCTGGAGGGGGTGGCGGAGGTGCTCAGAGGGGACAGGAAGAATGTGTGCATTTACATTCGTGCGTGTGTGTGTGTGTGTGTGTGTGTGTGTGTGTGTGTGTGTGTGTGTGTGTGTGTGTGTGTAGGGGCAGGGGAGAGGAGAGAATCCTTGGTCAGTGTCTAGAACCTCAGGAGGGAAGAGGGTTGTGTGGAGTGTGCAACAAGGAGTCCTGTGGCACAGACAGAGCTGTGATTGGCTTGACTGGAGTCGGAGCCTCAGGCAGCAGGATCCACACTGAGAAACAGGCTGGATGACCGCTGGCCTCCCAGGTCCACCCAGCCACGTTGTTTGGTGGGTTGGCAGCATTACTCCTAAGCCTGCTGGGTTCACGGGGGTCTCAGGCTGCGGCAGACTTTCCCAGGGAGGGGGTCAGCCCGGCAGGCAGGGGTTGGGTTGCAATGACTCTGAGCCCCGTCACTCCTCTCTCTGCTTCATGAAAGTCACAGGAAGAGGCTGCCAACTTGGCAGAAGAGAGAGCCAGCATGGGGTGGCATTTCTCCCCTGCAGAGGCTGCCTTGCAGTCTGAGTGCCCACCACAGGCGCGGCAGGGTGGGCCCACCGGGACTTGGTTCCAGCTCCTGACGCTGTTTGTCGGTGCAGTTGAGTGGACAGTAGGCGGTCACAGGGACAGTTGAGTGCAGCAGAATGAAGCTGGCCTCGGAAAGTGCTGAGTGAGCGGTTGTCAGCATCCTGAGTCGAGCCCTCTCTTCTGGGGAATTAACTCAGGCAGGGAAAGGGCACCTCAGACACAGTTCTTCCCAATCGAACCTGCTGCCTGTCAGCGAGGCTTCACCTCAGCCTGCGGGATGGGCAGACCAGACTGTGGTAGCCGTAGTGGGTGGAGGCAGGTATGGCATCCCCACGGGGCTTGAGGGTAGGGTTTCCAGCGAGGATGCCGTGGGCTGCCCCTCCAGTGGCCTTCTGAGCTATGCTCTCAGCTCTCTGGGTCTCCTTCCCACCCCAGCTTCTCCCTTCTTTCTGGACTCCCTGTTTTAAAATGCCCTCGCCACCTTGGAGGAGCAGCCATTGCAGTGCCATTAGCCTCTCCTTTTTGGATTCATCATGCATTTCTGAGGCCTGAGGCCGCAAGCTGCAGTGGCCACTGTGATGGCCGCCACAGGCAGGACTGAGTGGGGAGGGAAAGGCCATGCTTCCTGAATTGCAGATCGTATATTTACATTTAAAATGAAGCCCCGCAATTCTGCTTGTGCATTGAAGAGCGTTGCTTTTAGAATTGAGCTGAATGGGTTCATTAGTCCATCTGTTCTGGGGCTGGTGCACAGCTGTGGGAAGCTGATGGCTGTAGAAGGTGGTGAGGTATGTAAACAGGTGGGAGGTGAAGGGACTTCCCTCAGGTGGCTGTCATACCTGGCAGAACAAAGTTTCTCGTGCAGCGCAGACAGTCAGCGGAGACCAGTGGAGGTTGGGTGACCAACATACCCTCCCTGATTCCACACAGAATGAGGAGAGGGCCCTGCAGCAAGGAGCAGGGGCGGGGATGGGGTGGCTGGCTGCCTTTGGCTGGCTGTTGGGCACAAGTGGCTGGGTGTGGTGAGGTTGTGTAGGAGGGCAGTGGAGGCTAGTGGAGGGCACCGGGAAGCCACACCTGGAGTTTGGGGAGAGTAAGAGCCAGTGCAGGATGGTGGCATCATCAGATCACCTGGAAGGTTCCTTAAAACAGTATATGCAGCCCAGGCTGGTGTGGCTTGGTTGGGCATCCTCCCGTGCACCGAAAGGTTGCTGGTTTGATTCCCAGTCAGGACACATGCTTATATGGGGGCTCAATTTCTGGTAGGGGCATGCAGGCGGCAGCCAATCAATGTTTTGCTCTCACATCAATGTCTCTCTCTCCCTTTCCCTTCCTCTCTAAAAATCAATAAAAATATTTTACAAAAACAACACCAGAAACACCAGTATTCTCAGAGTTTTGATTCAGAAGGTCTGGGAGGGGGATGACAGTTTGTATTTCTAACAGGTTCCTAAGTGAGGCTGGGTTGCTGGTCAGGGGCCACACTTTGAGGCCCATGAGTCTAGCAGGAAGGACTAGATGAGATGGTGCCTGCACACTTTGTACACAGTGAACGGCACCCAACAGACATTTTTTATTAGAATTGCGAGAGGGCGAGATTACAGACTCCAGCCCTTCACCGAAGCTTCCCCTTTCTCCTTTTGGCTTTTGTCCATACCTGGTCAGATGTCATAATGCTTTCAGCATCGTAGAACGTCTTCCTCTTTTCCTGGTCAGATGGTCTATAGCAGGTGGCATATGGCACACATTAGAGCTTGAAAAACAAATGTACTTGGGCCCCAGGCAGAGACTCTGAAGGAATGATCTGGGCAGGCCCAGGAAATCAGTATTTTTTAAACTTCCCCAGGAGCTTGTAATGCGCAGCCAGGATTGGGAACCACTGATCTATACTGCGTGTATTTTTCTTCTTAGAATGGGCTGTCCACCCCGTAAGCTTCTGGGGCACTTCCTTTATCTGGACCTCCCTGGGTTGTACCTGACACCCAGTGGTACAGCCTCCCCGTCTGCTGGCCCATCTTTCCTGATCAGTCACCTCGCATTGGGTCCTCTCCTCCCTCCGGTTCTCTGAGAACCCGTCTCCAGTGAGGTCCTTTCTCGCTATGGAGAAGTCCAAGTTACCTGCCTTATTCTGAGGCTACCAGCAGATTTTACTCTGTCAACACCTCTGTGAGGACCACAGGTTACCGATGGTTCCCGGCGTTTGTGTCTTTCAGTGACACAGAGAGTAGAAAATTGTGCAAGAAGATGAAAGTTGACCTGAGCCCAAAGGACAAAAAGGTCGAATTATTCCATTACCAGTAAGTACACGTGGTCATTTCCAATTTCCAAGTAAGTGCTGAAAGCTTTCATTGGTATTCTCAGTGCACAGCGATTTTAGGTAGATCAATTTTCTTCCGGAATGATTTTTTTTTCCTGTTTACAGTTATTTCATTTAAAAACATCTTGAACTCTGTTCAATAGCTGAATCTTATTAAGATGCTGCAGGAAACCAAAGGTAGGTCTCTTCACAACCATTCCTGTAGTTAACACCTTGTTCTCTCTTTTGACAGGGACGGTGCATTTCACACTGAATATAACCGAGCTGTGACATTTAAGGTAAATTTACCTCCCTCGTTCTCAGCAGAGCTGTATCTGAATGGATGCCAAAAGTCTGGCAGCTTCTCTCTGAGAGAAGGAAGGGCAGAGAGCACAAATAGCTCTTCTGGGGGACCTGAGGGAGTCTTATCTCTCGAGCGAATGTCAGCAAAATATCTGTGGAAGTTTGTAGCTCTTAGCACAATAAGGATGACCAGCCTCACAGCTAGTCTGTGCCTCCATCAGCAGTGACGTCAAGCCTTTCCCCTCCAGAGGCCTGGTCTCCCCTCCCTGTGGCCTCAAGGCCCCCTCCCCCACCTCTGCAGCAGTGTCGACAGTGGCTGCCCACGGGCTGGAGGGGGCTGGCTGTGCCCAGGTTAGCGCGCTCTGCAGGACACCGGCAGGATGGCATATGTGGGTTGATGCAGCTTGTTCCAGATGAGATGCCGATGTCACCGAGATTTTCCTTGCTCCAAATCCAATTTAGAAGCGGATGGAAAAACATCAGTGAACATAAGTGTGGAGAGCCCGTGACCTGCAGGTGCTGTCCTGTGATCACCAAGCCGCTGCTCCGCCCCGCCCTGCGCCCTTCTCCTGCCCTTGGATTCTGCTCCTTCGCCATACACATTCCCTTCCTCAAACCAGCCTTCTTTTACCTGTGGTCCAGGCCACATCCCCTGCCCTGGCTGGGGCCGCACATTTCTCCCGTTTCCAAATCTGCCAATCCCATGCGTTCTGACTTTCCTGCTTCCCAGACTGGATTCGACCCTGTACTCCTCTCTCTCTGCCTATCTCCACCGGCGTCTCCTTCCATCCCTTCCTATCCAGTCTGAGCAGCTGTCACTGCCCCTTCCCCCCACCTCCCTGCCATCTCTTGTTTATCCACTAACGCTGCTTCCTTTTCAGTTGCTGCAGCTCTTCCCTGACACAGACTCAGCCTGATTACTCATTTTAACACCCACTTAGACACTTAGAGACAATGCTACCAACTGGAGTTGCTTAACCCCTCTTACTCTGTGTGAAGACTTCCACTGAAGTCTTTGGAGAGAACACGTGCTCCCCAGGAGCAAGGTTTAGCTGGGTGGGGTGGGGAGGTGCCTCTGCAGTGATGGGAAGGGGAGGCTTTGTTTTGTCCTGGAGGTTGTGTTCAGTGCATGTTTAGCCAGCCTCAGAGAAGTCTGCGCTGTGAGTGTGTACTAGGGGATGGCCGCTGCTCAGAATTGTTGAAGCAGGAACGGAGCAAGGAGCCCCGAAGGTCTGAGCTGGCCTGAGTGGGGTGGCCAAGTCCTGGCCTTTGTCCACCTCTTTACAAAGACTAGGTGGGTGCGATCTTGTCCTTCTGTGATTTTTTATGTCAATAAGCCAGAGAGGTGGGCTGTGCCATGTATAGGGTCAGTTTTTAATGGAGAGAGGAAATCCTTGGTCCCAGGGACCCCAAAGCCCACAGGACCATATGGATTGGGGTAGAGCCCCTGA